CCCATGGACCGCTTAAGAGATTGGTGAGAAGTATTGGGTCTAAATAGACCAAAATAGGAGGGGGAGGCTTGTTGCTGTCCATCCTATGCATGTGGTGATGTGGCGTTGCATCATTTTGGGGTGACGGAACCCAGCAAGAAAATGGGGACAACTTAAGTGTTTGTGCTACTCCCATCCAGCTGTGTCTGAACATGTAAGAGGGACCAGAGAAAAGAGGTATCTGAGAGGAGGAGTTCATGCTCACAAGCCAAATGAAAGCCAGCTTAGCCAAAGGATTGTTTTTGTGTGTGTACAATGTGCAGAACAGTGGGGTGATAGCACCACTGCCATTTAGACGTGACCAGGTTGCTGATCATATGTAGAAATGTCCTGCAATCCCTTCAAAGGGACAGCCCTTCAGGTTGGGTTCCTCGCATCAGTGACTGCTACTGCTGCCTTGTCTTCTGGCTGGAGGAGCCCCAGAAACTCCCCAGCCAGGTAGCGGTTTCTCAAACTGAGTATATTCCCAAGACCTCTACCAACTCAATCCTTGCTTCACCAGCCAAGAAGGAAAAGGGGAATACTAAGGAATTAGAGCAGCCTCCATTCAGAAAAGGGACAGGGGACAATTTCATATTCTGCTTTTGCAGTGGAGGAAGGAAGATACACTTCTACATTGTATCTCATGATCAGGGAGACTGCATTCAGCTCAGTGACTGGAATTGGAACAAAGTTGAATACCAAAAGTTATAATTGCCCAATGACTATTTGGTGACCTACCTAAAACAGCCATCGGATAATAATGACCAAAATAGTTTGGTTGTCTAGTTCAGTTCCTGATGAGATGTCCACATCTTCATGCTAACTACAAAAAACATAACTTTATAACAATCTGGGAAGACAGAGATGGAACAGAACAGAACAGAATGGAGCCTGTTACCAGCCCAGTTCAGGCAACGCTATCAGGACCAGAGCCGTAGGAGTCCCCCACAGTGGACCAAGTTGAGTGTTAGTGTGACATTAGCTGCACACATTCCAGTGCCAAATACTGCTGAGTGTACAAGCTGTTACACATTGACTGGGAGTTCTGTTATGTTAACTAGTACCCTCTAGAGAGTCAGGATATCTTGCCATTTATCCCAGTCTTGGCTGGAACACAAAGCTGATTACCCTTTTCGTATTTAAGAAGAAACTTCCAGCTGCTGCTCCCCTCTTTCCACAAATATGTAAACCAATTCTGCATATACTCACTCTTGGCTCCTCAACTACCGTACCAGTTTGTGCAGGATATGGTAAAGGAGAAAAATCAGTTAAATCTTAGACCTTGTAAAAGGTGGCCCAGGCCTGACCAAACAGATTTGTCGGCCTCAGTGAGATGCAAAATGTCTCTCAGTTTGAAACATCCTACTAAGAAAGCAATGGAATTTTATACTTCAGTTCTGTGCTGTTCCTGTTCTGGAGCTGAATGCGGAGCAGTGTCATCTGGCACTGCCAATCCAGAACCTCTCTTTCTCAAAAGCTACTATTTGGGGAGAGAAGGAAAATAAAATTATGTTTTAACATCTGTTTTAACCCTGTTTGGAGAAGCAAAAAGGCACTTGGACATTTAGTCTGGATATGCATCTGAGCTTTTGGATAATTATGGAAAACTTATTTAAACCTTTCTTTGGTTTTGAAATGAACATGAAAATACTGAAAGAGCTTCTCCCATTTTTATTGTGGTATTTCTACTGGCAAGAGGAAATCAGGAAGTTTAAATGCACAGAAAATCTAAGCACATTTTTCCCCTTTGCCAGGATATTTTCAGACTTCAAAAATGTTTGATCCAGGACTGGCTGAAGTTTGAGGCTAAGGTGTGGGTCTTATTTTTTTGCATTCAGTCGCAGTTGCCATGAGCCAGCTTTATTATGTTGCTGCACATTTATGTTAAATTAGTATCCTTTTTTAAAACAGGAGTTTTCTGCTTCACCTGTAATAATTTAAATATAACAAACAAGAAGTTCAATTTAAGGTCATCAAGAGCTAATAAACAATAGCATGCCTTATAGCATAAAACAGTATCCATTTACAATTCTTATATATAAAGATATAATGGTAATAGGTTTTTAGGGAAAACTACACTAACTTCACATTTTCAGCAATGGTGCTTATATACCATCTCTTTCACATAAGCTAGCCCTGCTTATATAAGATAATTATTTTGACATGCAGATAGATGTTTAAGCTTTAGAATAAAATATTTAAATATGAACTATACACCTCCTAATTACTGCAAACTCAGATAGGTTAATAGTAGGATTTTGTAGCCATTATACCCTGGGTTTGGAATTGGTTGCAGTAGGTTTTTTCATTAGTTTTTACATATGTATCTGTACATATCTTATTAGCATATTGTACATACTATTTTCTACAATTTCCTCATTCTGATTATATCTATAGATGATGAAATTTTTCAGGGAGAAAATTCTGTTTTAGTTCAGAGTTTCTCTTATCTATAATTGTTATCATATAGATATCCTCACTACATAAGCCATCATTTTCATAAGTCAATGGGAGGTTTTGGCTGCTAAACACATCTGAATAATTAGCCTTTTTTAAGATTTGGAAGTATAATATTTGGCACCCATTTTTTTAAATCTTGGCTACCTTTTAGCTATTGGCAAGTACATACCCACTCTACAACTATGGGATTGAATGTTTAGAGTTGAACATAGCAAATATTTCACTGTTTATCCCAAAGTTTGAAAAGCACTTCTAAGTATGAACAAAGATATAGGATAAAGATAAATAAAGGGCCAACTAATGTCTCTAGGAAACAGCTGTAGAATGAGGGAAAATGTCTTAATGTAAGAGGGAAAATCTGTGAAAGCATCATAAATACAAGACGGTTGTCATAGCAGCATAATGGTATGGGGCTGAAATGCATCTTATGCAAAAGCAGACTAGAACTAAGATATGCAAGAAAGACCTGGGCGCACACAGGAAAGAAAGATGATGACATGACACTATGCAAAGAACAACATGAGAATGAACATGCAGAACTCCACCAAATGAAGGCTGCCAATGTCAGCACTGACATGCAATGATTTCTGAGAGAGAGAGATTCTAGGTCATCAGGAGAAGGTCTGGTTGAATCGGACACCTTACTCCCTGTGATTCACAAGCGTATCTAACTTACTCCCAAACAGATGTGTGCCATATCCCATTCCCCTGCTGTCTAACAATAGGTGTTCTTGCTACTCTGAAGCTAAAAGAGGTCCTCTACTCCCTACTGTTCTTCTGAAAATTCTTTTTTGGGATTCTTGTTGTCACCTACAGCCCCTTCCCATCTCTGGGATAACAGATGTTATGGCACCACCCCGGCAGCATGATGCCTCAGAATTTTGTAGCTTCAAAGCCACAACATTTTCTGATTTTCTGATCAATTCACTTTTTCTATGGGAAGGGAGGAGTCAAAACTCCATTTTAATTAAAATAATAATTTGTGGACTTGCAGCTCGAGACTTTATTTCTGCAGTGTTGGAGCTCTATATAAGGAGTTGTATCGAATGTTCAATCTACCTTAACACTGATTCAGGAGCTGGAAGAACTGCTGCATCAGAACAGCAGAATAGATCTGCAGCAAAGATTGCTTTGGTTCCAGCTTGGGTTCCAACATAGAAATGCTATTCTTGGAACAGATGTTTCAAGGCCCAAACATGCATCTGGTCCCTGTCAGAGACATAAGATCTGGAAAACGCGGCCAAACTAGAGTGTTTTTAGCTTAATGCAGCACAAATTCAAATTGAATTATTAGGGCAGTGGTTGAAATGAAGACCATGTAAGTTACAAAAAGCTTTTTTCCTTTAGGTTTGAAAAGAAAAACAGGCTCAGCAATCTCTCACTCCTAGGATATGATGCAATAGATTCAGGTCAAATAATAAGCCATAAGGACATTAGAGAGAGAGAGGACAATCATAGGAGGATTTTCTTTATGTTAAAAAGTGAGTGCCAATTTGTGACAAGCACTGTTCTGTTCCTCCCCCCCCAATGCTTTGCACAGTTCACAGATACTAATTGTGCAGATATATAATCTCATTAATTGTAATTCTTTTTCAGAGAATAGAGTCTACTAAATAAATATGACACTACTGTAGGCCCTTTATTAAAAAATGCCAATATCCCATAAAGTGTGTATTGTCATACTACAGGTAAATGACCTCTTGGTTTTAATGTTTTCTGCTAATTGTTATGCTCTATTGGCTTCATCCTTATATCTGTGAGGATACAAGGATATACCCTGCATGGACATGCAGGATACACCCTTATACTAGATTGTTTTCATGCAAGATATTGCTTTGTACTCTTGCTTTGGGTACACAAGAGTGTAACTAAAATTATAATTTTTCCTGTTTTTACATGTTTATGGCAAAATTATATCCCACATGCACACACACTCTCCATTCACCTTCCATACCAGCATCCTTTTATACTTAAAACCCCTTTTTGCAGTGTTGCTGAAGATTCAGGTCTATGCAGATGTGTGCAACATACAGGACGTTTTCCCCTGCAGGTTAAATACTAAAGCTACGTAAGTCTATTCTCCTACTTAACTACATTTCTCTTTGCTAGAACAGCCTTCTAAAGTAAGGGGATCAAAAAGAATTGTGTAAAGACAGGACTTGCCAAAAACTACTGGAAATCATAGGAAAAAGGAAGAAATTGATAATAGTCAAATAAAAGCCCTTTTGTCTTTGGTCCATTGGCACAAGTTACGTACAAAAATACTTAAAGGGTAAGTCAGACAAAGGCATCTTTAACTGAAAATGAAGCCACAGTGGGGAGCGATATTGCCAACATCAAGATAAAAAACGTTCTGAGAATGAATCTTTCAGAATCACAAGATTTTAAAACAATAATAAAGGGAAGGTTCTTTTCCTTGACTTCTGTGTTTGTAATCATGTTGGGATTACATTTCCCTTCTCCCTTCCCTAACACTTAAACGATAAACCTTTTAAAAAAAATGAAAGTTGAGATTGAAGATGGACAGAAAGACTATGATTCCAGGATGTGGGGCTTTAGGAGATTCATCAGTTGCAATAAACTTATATAAGTTGTCAACCCTGCCTAAATTAGAAGGTTATCTACCTATCAGGCATCCTTTGACTCTGACCATAAAGGCTAAATACAAACATGACAGCAGCAAATATGATGGCAACAATTATGTTTGTGATATGGTACGGTGAAGGTCAGACTCTCATAGTAAAGATGTCTCTATTTTTGTCATATTACTCACACTACAGGAGCAAAAGATATTCATCTAGTTAGTTTTATCTCGCTGTCTATTTATCTACCATATGTCAAGTGATACAGCGTATTCCAATGCGATGTCATGTAATGTCACCCATAAAACACTTCTCATCGAAAGTCGACTACAAAACCAAATCTGCATGAAGACCGCAGCCACAAGCATTATGTGTGAATTGGAGAAATCTGAGTTCACTTTTTACCGGTCTCCAAATTTTTGGGCTAGGTTTACACATCCTTAATGTTTACAACAGACTGACACAACTCATTGAAACTCTGAGTCAGCTTCCACTAAAATTAGATTCTCTTTCTGTTAACTTTAATGGGTGTGGGATTGGTCCTGAAGGATCCAGGTGAATTTTGGTATCATGTTTGCTATGAAATTTGTTTGGAAACAAACTTTTGCTATTTGAAGCAGAGCACTAAAGCATACATCAGACGCCATTTACTATCTTTGCTTCTTCAGCCTCATTCTTCATCCTGTTTAGCCATGGATTTGATCACAGTACCATGTGGTATTATATGGTTTAAGAGGATTTCCAGGACTGCATCACTTTGCAAATGAATCAGCAGTTTCTAACTCCTCCATGCCGGAATGCAATTTATTTGCTTTAAAGGGATGTTGCTGATTTTTTTTAATCATTATTTTGGGGAAAGGAAGTCTGCTAAAGCCCCAGTTACATAACTCATTATGTTTAATTAAGCAAGTTCTTTTAAAAAAGGGAGATTTCCTCATCCCCATTTTTATCTTCCCCTGGATATTTACAGTATGAGAGAGCAAAAACAAATCCTGTCCTCTCCTATGTACACCTCTGAGTGCAGTCTCATAGCTTTCAGTTTTGCTGCTACTGCTGCTGCTGCTGGTTAAGGCCCTTTTACAGAGCCTGACAAGGGCCACTGCCATTACCAGAAGATTGAAAAAGTAGAGGATGTCTCATTTGCACTTTCTCTGTTCCTACCCATGAGATAGACATTGGAGCCAACTACAGCTTTAAACCACATCCCTCTACTCTGCACCAACCTACCTGTCCTCTATTGTAAATTAGACCAGTTTTAAAATGTGCTTTGTGTGGGCCTCGCGGGCCTGGTGACCAGAGATAACAGGTAGCACTGAGAGCTCTGGCCAAACCTGTGACCTGTCACCCATCATACATATGCTGCATTGTAGTTGAATCCTCATAACATCTCCACCTTGCCCAGGAAGGAATATTCTCAGTGGGGCATATGCTTAATTGAAGCCACCTTTACCCTGCCACAAGAGCACAAAAAAGTCCTTAATGTAAATAAAAATCAGGCCTGAAGCACTGGCAAATATATAAAACAGGCAAAGTGAAGAAACAGACGCATTTAAACCTCTCCAATCTCTTGCTGTCACAGAAACCTCTGGGGTTTTTTGTGTCAAAAGTCAGAACAAAAAAATTCTGAGGGAAATCTGGATCTCGGGTTAATGGAGTTCCTTTAAAGCTAGATGACTTAAAGAGGGTGTAAATTATTATTTCGTGACTAGCGCACTTTCAGGGACAAGGCCAAAAATAGGGTACCATCATGACAACAAGGGTAAAAGAATGTGATATAATTCTCATGCTGCAGCGCTCCCTTCACCAGCCATAAATGAGTTTCAAAGATTATTTATACTGCTAGTTAACTGAGAAAGCTGTAAGCCGTGACTACAACATGACTCCCCCTTCAAGAAAGAATTATTTGTCCGGGTTGTATTTTTAGTGCTTGAATTCTCACTTCCTGCTAATAAGACAGGTAGGGATGGGAAAACAGAATAGGAATAAATAAGAACATTCCTGACCAAACAATTGTCAAGCTTCAAATATCTCATCTATTTAAAACCTAGTTGCTAGCCATTAAACAGTTTTGCACTAACAAAACGTATGCTAATGCTGTTCCATTTAAACAGCAGTCTTTGCCATCCAATAAACAGCTTCCTAAGGGACCTCCCAATATACTATGTCCAAATAAAGTATATTCCTTTAAATGTGTAGTGTTTTCCATCACAAAGCCCGTACATCTTTAGCATCAGACAAGACAAGGAGGGTGCATTCCTG